TTCAGGTCCTTGGCCCATTTGTTGATTGGGTTATTTGTTATCTTATTGTCTAATTTTTTGAGTTCTTTGTATACTCTGGATAGAACATTGTAAGTTTTTAAAACTATGAATTCCTGGGGTCCACTCAGATCAATTTAATTTGAATCTCTGGGAAAGTATGTGGCCTATGCAACCATATATTTTAAAAGTTTTAAGTGATTTTATCGTTCTGTATCTCTAAAATTTAATTTTAAAACAATAAAACTAATATGGAGTCTCCATAGCAAATAAAAGATATAGAAGATTTTATTCTCTTCTCCTCTTATAAACATAAATAAAATTCATGGAGTATAAACATTATAATATGAATACTGGTTTATCCACGAAATCTTTAAATTTTATTGAATGAAAAGATATATAAAAAAATATGTAAATGTGAAGAAATAGCTTATTACCACAACCCCCAGTCCTCACTCATATTGCTTCTTTGTGACTATTCATTCCTTCCTATTAAGATGTATTCAAAACTCCCCAGGTAAGTATAATGAGCTTTACCCTCGTCTTCTTATATTTATTTATTTATTTTTGTATAGGGGCACTTAACCACTGAGCCACATCCCTAGCCCTTTTCATTTTTGATTTTGAGACAGATGTGTTAAGTTGCTTAGGGTCTCGCTAAGTTAATTGTGTACTTTTTGACCCTTTTTTTTTTTGGTAGATAATTTTTAATAGAAAGTTAATCTAATCATTTTACCTCTGAACATTCCTGTATTAGCACAGGAGCTTTTGAGAGACACCTCATATCCAAAGCGTAATACGGGTATACATATATTTATATGCCTATAACAATGACTGAAGAACCTAGAAGAAATCTAAGTGTAACTAGAAAAGTCAGGTAACCTATCTGAGATTGCATCCAAGGGTACTGAAAGAGCTACTAGGGACTGGGGATTTAGCTCAGTAGCACAGCATTTGGTAATCACTTGTGAGGCCTTGGGTTCAATTCTCCAGTAAATCACACTTCAAATCAGGTTTGGGCAGCGGGAGGAGTGATAAAATTGGATGAATTCCATTCTTTTTCTCAATTCTACCAAAATACCTTGGTGTAGGGAGGGTCTTTGAGAAGTTTGATAAGGTGAGTGGATTGTGGGGGAGATAAACACTTTGCTGACTATTCCAAACGACCACTCCCTTGCCATTATCTTATTTTAATCATTACGAGAAATCCACCACGGGCTGAGTGCTATTATTCTTCTTCCCTTAAAGATACGGAGACAAAAGCTCAGACAATATAATTACATGTCCCAGGGCACCACCTATAGCAAATGAAGGGGGAAGGAGAACTTGAAGCTGGGCCTTCTCCTCTGCAGCCCATTTTCCAATCATCATATGCTTTAGCCTCCTCTGTAGGAGGAGGAGGCAATGTATTTCTTTTTTTTTCTAATAGAGACATTTCTGAGGGGATTCAATCAAATTTACCAACTCAGACAAATCTACTTGCTTTCCAGTCATTTCTCTACTTAAAAAGTTGCTTTAAAAATAGTTGGAGGAGACTTCTGCTTATCATCATCTGGCCTTTACCAAAGACTCTTTATTTTTTATCTTTTGTGGCGCTAGGAGTGGAACCAGGACCCCCACCTACTAGGTAAGTGCTTCACCACTGTACTATAACCCCAGCCCCCCCCTTTTTAGTTATAGGTGGAAACAATGTCTTTATTTTATATTTATGTGGTGCTGAGGATCGAACCCAGTGCCTCACGCATGCTAGGCGAGCGCTCTACCTCTGAGCCCTTTTAATTTTAAAAGATTCAGGTCATTTCTTCTAAATATGTGAAAATTATTAGCTACTTATGAGAAGCAGGTGTGCCATGGTTTCCTTTTAAGAAGTTCATATTTACTTTCTAGAAAATAATTCTGTGCTTATGGAAGTGTGTGCTTTAAGAGTTTGGGCTCATACAGAAAATGGCTCTGATACCTGCCTTCTCTTGAAGTTAGTAAAAACCTCCAGGTACTTCTAGGCTACTGTCAATATTGGAATTGTTCTTTCCCTTTTCAGTAGGAGAATTTTTAAAAAGGAAAAAGGTCTGAGTTTAAAAAAGCTGAAATAACAGTCCTGTTATAATTTGTGGGTTTTTTTTTAAACCACTTTGACATTTTCTCTTTCCTTCTCTACCTATTCCAACTTCCTAGCACTTCTTCTTCTTCTTCTTTTTTTCATTGTAAAATATAGAACTTTTAAAACCTTACACCATGCTGTAATCTCTTTCCCACTTTACTTCCCAGTGTCACAACCTTTTTTTTTTTTTTAGTAGGGAGAAAAAAGTCCTTTGTGCCTTTTTGACTTCTGATTCCCTTTGCCATACAAGCAAATAAAATAAGCCAAAGTGAGAGCCCAAGGTCATCAGCTCCCCCGGCTTTGTACCAAGACTTGCAAACAACCTAGGCCAATCCCTAACCTGTTTTTTTTTTTTAAAAAAAAGCCTCCAATCAGAGAGGCCCCATGACTGCTTTTTGTGAACTGCTGCACCATGTAACTGCTCACTATAAATGTCTCTCCCTATCTCTGCACTCTTATCTCACTGTTCTATTTCTCTCTCATTCATAGTAACCCTTTCTTAGCTTTTCTGATCTTCTAGGCCTTCTCTTCCCAGAACTGGGAGACAAGTGCTATTCTGCAAATGGCCAGGATGGTGAGGTAAGTGCTAGGTCCTGGAACCCTGGTGCTCCACTCTCCAGATACGTGGGATGGACAGAGGGGCAGTGGCATTCTTTATTTTACAAGGTATTTATTCAGCATGGGCTGCTCCACCAAACTAAACAAACACTCCAGATACTTTTTAACCTCACAAGGCTGACATTTCTGAGTCTGTTTGCAAACAGGACACTAGAGGGCTCCCAGGGGTTAAAAATAAGCGGAAAGTTGTTTGAATGAAAACTGATTCTGTACGGCATTTGTTTTTTTAGAATATAAAACTGAAGTTTATTTTTCAAATCTTCTTTACCAAATCCCTGGATGTCTGAAAAACGTCAGTAGCTAGTTTACAAGTATCCATTTTGCCTTGCCGTCGGTGATTTTTGAGGGAGTTTTAAAGCTGAGCTGAAATGTTTGAACTGTGGAACACTCTTGACCATGAAATATGTTCTACTTACATGCCTCAGCCTTTAGAAGTTCTTTGCATTAGAGTCAGGGATTACATTCTTCCTGGAGCCAAGCTTGAGTCCAGCTGTGTAAGTAAGATTGCTTACGAGTTTCTTCTTTTCTAATAATGTGAAGAGATTGTACTAGAGATTCTTTTGTTTTCTTTCAGCTGACTTTGGTGGAAAGAAAATAAATGAAAAGTAGTTGGATTTGTGTTTGGTGTGTTTGTGTGTGACTGAATAAATGTAAGTGCTCCCGTGCTGTATAGACATTTATGGCTTTATATTATAGTAACATTTAAAATAAGATAATGGAACACATTGTGAAGAAAAATCTGTATACCATTAGATTAAGATAATATGTTCCTGAGTTTGAATGTTAATACTTTGTGCTCCTGCCTAATTAGTTAATGCATGATTTTTGAAAATAATGTAGGATAGCTATAAATTTTTAAAAGCCATCTGTCTTAAGTTATTTCTGCTGTGAAAAAAGGAAAAGCCCAGGTTGGTCAAATTTTACTGCTTTGCTTCAGAATCAAATTAAAAGACTCTAGCTACAAGTCATAAAATATTCTTGGATTTTTCGTGGCTTGTTTTCACAGCTTTAAACTGAATATAAACCTACACATCTATTTTGCTTTCATTTTTTAAACTTTACGTATTTAGTAGTAAAATTTATGGAAGGAAAGGGTTACTTTTTTTCTTTCCTCCTGTAGAGGAACTGAAACGGTTTGAGATGTGACTCAGTTAACTCTGTTTCCATTCATTCCCAGAATCAACTCTCATTTCTCCTTGGGGAGGTTGATAGAAGTTTAAAAGGTTTGTTGTGGCGAGTGTCAAAAACATTCTCAGCTCTATCACCAAGACTTCCCTTCCACTTCAACCCACTGGAGACCACTTAGATAACCAACCGGACACGACAGCTGAATTCAGGAAACCATGCATCGTATCAGCAGGAGCCAACTGCAGACCTTAAACTCTGTTCAACATGTGGATACAGCAGAGAAATGACCTGTCCAGACAAGCCAGGGCAGCTCATAAACTGGTTCATCTGCTCCTTGTGCGTCCCGAGGGCGCGTAAACTCTGGAGCAGCCGGCGTCCCAGGACCCGGAGGAACCTTCTGCTGGGCACTGCCTGTGCCATCTACCTGGGCTTTCTGGTTAGCCAGGTGGGGCGGACCTCAATCCAGCACGGACAAGCAGCCGACAAGAGGCCACCCCGCAACCGCGACTCTGCAGAGGCATCCTTTCCTGAGATCCCCTTGGATGGCACCCTGGCTCCTCCTGAGTCCCAGGGCAATGGGACCACTTTGCAGCCCAACGTGGTGTACATTACCCTACGCTCCAAGCGCAGCAAGCCTGCCAATATCCGTGGGACTGTGAAACCCAAGCGCAGGAAGAAATATGCAGTTGCATCTGGTATCCCTGGTCAGCAAGCATTGGTTGGACCGTCCTTTCAGACACAGGACGCTGCAAGGGCAGCTGATGCTGAAGTGCTTGGGTATGCTCAGGGAGGAAACCTGGCCAAGATTGGAGAACCATCCTGGAGGCTGGTGCGGGGCCCTGGAGTCCGAGTTGGGGTCTTAGACTTCCAGTTGCCCAAGGCCAGAGAGAGCAACATCAGGATCTACAGCGAGAGCGCCCCCTCGTGGCTGAGCAGAGAAGACATCCGCAGAATGCGCCTGTTGGCAGATGGTGCGGTGGCGGGCGTCCAGCCTGTGTCCTCAAGGAGTGGTGCCCGCCTGCTGGTGCTGGAGGAGAGCACAGCTGGCTCATTGCCTCGCTGTGGCTCTAGCCCCTGTGGTTTGCTCAAGCAGCCATTGGACATGAGTGAGGTGTTTGCCTTCCACCTGGATAGGATCTTGGGGCTCAACAGGACCCTGCCGTCTGTGAGCAGGAAATCAGAGTTCATCCGAGGTAACAGATTCACGTGATTCGTTATTTGCAGCTGTTGGGGATTCGGGTTCCTTTTCCCTTTTCCCTTACTTTTTTTTTTTTTTTTTTAATGATTTCTCTCCACCCACGTTTCACATTTGGACAGCAGCAGCAGCAACAGCATGTCTTTCCATACGCTTGGCATTCATTATTTTCCCAGCCTGGGAGGATATGAGAGTTCCAGAGAAATGCTGTGCTGGACATGCAAGAGTAAGCCCACACTGTGTAATCTTTGCTCTCCATTTCCCTGCTGCACTTCCCAGTGGCTTATTAAATCTAATTAAAGCCAATGGCAATTTGCATGATGAGGAGAGGAAGCCAGGGTGGAGCGGTGGAGGTAGAGAACTTGCTGACAGTCAGGCATGTTATTATAAGATACTGTGAAAGTAGAATTTTTTTTCCCCCCTTTGGAAGTTTTTAAAAGTAAGAAGGAAATGAGTTATCTTTCTTCAGTAGACAGAATCTTTTCAAGAGGTCCAGAGCCAGACCATGTTAGTCTCAATGGCTTGATGTTTTTTTTCTCCAATGGATTTAAACACTTTTATTTAACAAATAAAGAAAAAGAAGCAAAGACATTTGATGTTGTTCAGCATGGATACTAACTAGCCACTGGTTTCTTCAAGCTTCATGATGTGGTTTATTGAGTCTGATTTACCAGATTATCTCTACCTGGGAGACAAATGTTTTGATACATTATAGGATAGTTAGCCTATTAACTACAGTTGTAGATGAAAGTATTGATCTGTGGTCATGCCACACCACATAAAGGATATTCTCTGAATGTTGAGGTTATTCCAGGATTTGAATCCAAAATACAGCAAATCAGTGGCTTGTGTTTGAATGCAGAATCACCTCAGAAGTTCTACCTGTGAATCCAGGTTGACCTAAGAGGCTGAGAAGGGCCCCAAAGAGATTGTAAACTCGAAGGATGCTCCCTTTCTTCCTGTTAGCATTACCTTTAGCTTTTCAGGAAGGTTCCCAGGGAGCTTGGAATGGAACAAATTAAAGTTATTGGGGGTAGCTGAAACCAAACCACTATTCCTTTAGCTTTGGGATTATAATTTAGTTTTAGAATGGATATTTCTTGACGTACTAATGATTTGCTTACTGGCCTTCCTTACACTGCTTCATGGCTAAATGTTCAGGATTTACAGGTACATTTTGATATCTCAAGTTCATAAAGTGGTTTCCATAATTATGTCAATGTTGCTCACATCAAATATTTAATTTAATGTTGGTAAAAGCTAAATTTTGTTGAGTGCACCATTTACTATGCTCTATGCAAATTGATTCATGTAATTCATACAATCATGGATCCCTATAATTCTCATAATGATTCTATGAGGTAAGTGTTATTGTTATTCCCACTTAATTGATAAGAAAATTGAGACTTATTCAGGCAAAATAGTTGGCCTCAATTTACACACCTAGTACATGGCTTCACTGCAATTCAAACAAGGCCAACAAACTTCAGAACATAACCTCTTAACCAGTAGACTTAGGTGACTGTATAATTTGTTTATCAGAAAAAACATTTAGCATTTGGTTTTTAGGGATTGGCTAACTTCACCTAGTATTATATTCTTCAACTCCATTCATTTACCTGCAAATGCCATGATTTTATCTTATCTTTTAATGCTGAATAGTATTATATTGTGTATATATACCACATATTTTTATCCATTCATCTACTGAAGGGCATCTAGGTTGGCTCCACAGTTTAGGTGTTGTGAATTGTGCTGCTATAAACATTGATGTGGCTGTGACCCTGTAGTATGCTGTTTTAAGTCCTTTGGGTATAGACTGAGGAGAGGGATAGCTGGGTCAAATGGTGGTTCCATTCCAGTTTTCCAAGGAATCTTCATACTGCTTTCCATATTGGCTGCACCAATTTGCAGTTCCACCAGCAATATGAGGGTGCCTTTTCCTCCACATCCTCACCAACATTTATTGTTATTTGTATTCTTTATAGCTACCATTCTGATTGGAATGAGATGAAATCTTAGAATATTTTGGTTTGTATTTCTCTAATTGCTAGAGATGTTGAACATTTCTTTCATATATTTGTTGATTTTTTATTGATTTTATTTTTTAAATACACGATAGCAGAATGCATTACAATTCTTATTACACATATAGAGCACAATTTTTCATATCTTTGTATATAAAGTATGTTCATGCCAATTCATGCCTTTATACA